TTTTTTTTTTTTGGGTCACAACACCATAATATTATAACCAAAGAACATACAAAAAGATTAATTCATCGACGACAAATAAGAATAAATATAATCATATCAAAACAACTCAAACATATAATACTAAACAACACACCAATATATAAGTTAACTCCACAACACACAAAGTAGATAATTAAACTAAAACCTCAAGTATTTTATTACAATTTTATAAAATATATGGGTCAATCTCATCAAACAACATAATTAAAAACTATCGGAAACAACTCACGATCATATTATAATTTGATGTGTCAACGTATTTGGATCCAAAAAAAAAACTAAAAATCTTTAAGGTAAAATAGTAATATGTTTTGTGAACAGGGACTGAAAATGCAATTTTAAGTTGATTCCTGCATTTTATTAAACGATTTCTTTCGGTAATGTTGAAGAATGAATCTCTCTGTTTCTCAAAACCATATCTCCATCGTCGCCGGGAAAGTCTCCGGCGTAATTTGAAATCGCATCAAGCTTTGATCAGTTAACCGATCTATTGATTGGACTATAGACGATCTTCTCAGCCAAAAGCTATATGATCTGCTTACGAATTAGGTCTCCATGGCAAGTGGAAGCAGCATCGGAGTCGGTGGTTTGTTCGAGAACGCTGAGGTAACTACGAGTGGCAGACCCGTGATTCGCCGCAATGAGGTCGAGTGTTTCCTCCTCTCCTCCGTCGATTTAGATTCCGAAGACGATCCGCCGCGATTCACCGCCTTGAGATCCGGAAATCTTATCCTCACCACTCATCGTCTCATATGGATTCCTTCTCAATCAAACACAGCCGTTCCTTCTTCAGTTCCTCTCGCCGGAGTTACTCACATCTTTACACATAAGAAATCAATCAAGTCTATGTTCCATTCGCCTCGAATCCGATTCCAAGCGGACCCGGGTTCGATTGTGGTGACTATTGTCTTCAGGGGTAAAGGGGATTTTGATGGGTTTTTGACGAAATTCTGGGAATGTTGGAGAGGCAGGGCATGGGAAGAAGAGGAGAAGGTCGAGAGCGAGGTTTCTCGATCAGGATCTGGAACGGTTGCTCAAGGTTTATACGGAAACGATGGAACGGTGAGGATGGTGGGATTAGCTGGGATATTGAGGAAAGAGCAAGAACAATGGGAGAGTACAGATAAGAGCTTGCAAGATGCTTTTCAGGATTTGAATGCTCTTATGGTATTGCCCTTATCTTCTGCTTTAGTCTGGAATACGTCTTTCAAATGCTTTACTTTCCAGTGTATAATTTGTTCTTTGTGTGCAACTGTATTAGGATTACTTTCAGTTTGATTATTGGTTTTCGTAGTGAAGTCAAATTTTCTTAGTTCTAGTACTTTGATTGGGTTTACAGAGTAAGGCTAAAGAGATGGTGAGTCTGGCAGAGAAAATGCGGCAAAAGCTCTTGTCTGCTCCAAGTAGCCAGAACGGATCAACTGATGATGAAGAAATGGGGTCTAAAGAAGAAATGCAACAATGGATGTTGAGCGTTGGTATTATCTCCCCGGTTACAAAGGAATCTGCTGGCGCCTTGTACCATCAAGAATTGTCACGACAGGTTCTCTTCCTTTTTATTTTGCTACAGAGATATTTGTGTTTATTAGCTTTTACTGTTCTTGATAACTTCGAAAGAGATGTTTTACATTCAGTGGTAGCTGATAGGATATTGATATGAAGGGGAAATTGTTAAGAATATGATTTTTCTAAAAATCTACGACTGTCCTTGTAGAGAACCTTCAACTGTTTAGCTTGTAATAGTATGCCACTGGAAAATGAGTTAGAATCTGAGGAATTCTTGTTCTTGAAGTCCTTCAAACTACATAAATTTGAGGTTGAAATCTTAATTTGCATACCTGCAGTTGGCAGATTTTGTCAGAATCCCATTAGAACAAGCTGGGGGAATGATCAGCCTTACTGATATGTATTATCACTTCAACCGTGCTCGTGGGACAGGTTGGAGCTTCATCAATTATCATATTTTGATTCCGAGGACTTTATTCTGTTTTTTTGCTTCAGCCTGTAATCTGAACATTTCTTTGCACAGAGTTGATTTCTCCAGATGATTTGTGGCAAGCTTGTAGCCTTTGGGAGAAATTTGATGTGTATGTATATTTTAAATATTTCTCCTATATTCTTCTTCAAGTTCGAATTTACGCTTTTGCATCCAGTATGTAGAAATATTGATCTGTCATGTATTTTGATTGGTAGTCCAGTAATGCTGCGGAAGTTCGATAGCGGTGTGATGGTCATCCAAAACAAGTCCCATAGTGACGAGGAGGTATTCCACTATTACTGCTTTGATTCTTCATAAGAAAGTTCTCACTTTTCTTGCTACAGATATGTCGTATCCCTCTCAGTGTGTTTTTTTTTTACCTTGGTTTCCATCGCCTGATGAAATGTTTTTCTTGGCCATTTAGGTTATGAGTAGAATCAGAATGCTTGTGACCAAAACTGAAACACTAAGAACCGGAGTCACTGCTAGTGATGCAGCTTTGACACTGAAGATCGCTCCAGCAATGGCAAAGGAACATCTATTAACAGCAGAGACCAAAGGTAACAAAATCCAACTCGTTACTTATCTTACACGCTCCCATTCGTGTAACTTAAAGTCAGCTCGTAGAAACATGGATCTATCAGAATTGTGCGATGCTTACACTCTCATTTTGTTTTGAACAGGTTTGCTGTCTAGAGACATGAGCCCAGACGGGCTTCGATTCTATTTCAACCTGTTTCCCGAGATCGATCCGACCAATCTCCATTTGTAAGTCAAACAATACCCATGATGTATTTTCCTCTGTGTTGCTCTTTGAGAGGCTATATTAACCTTTGTGCTTGCGTTCATATCGTTTGGCAGTGTCAAGGACTTTGGGACGTACGGTGAATGGGTGAAAGCGACCAGTTTGTTGTCCGTATGACAAGCTTTTGCTGTAGACTATTTGTAATAACACATACAAAGAAAAATTTATACAAATTTAGACCCAAAAAGGCCAATTAACTTATTTATTGTTGTGTGGCCAACTTAGTATTTGGGGTTCTTCAGATGTGTGAATTGCATGCACCAAACAAGAACTTGAAATAGTTTGGTTTTGTAACAAAAATGTTTCTCTAGTTCAAAGATCTTTTATGCTATTGTTGGCTTGTTGTAGCTACTTGCTCGACTGTGACTGTGAGAAATAATCAAGTCGGTCACAAAATATTCCGACAAAGAAAAAAGATTTGTGAGATTAGTTTGCACAAAACCCTTAATACAACTAGTTACCAAAATAAATAAATTTGAGAAAAACGAAATCCATTCACATCCTTCACAATTTCTAAACATCTTTATATCATAAGCTAAATTAGCCACAGCTTTAACAGCACTGCAAGTTTAATGTAGAAGGGTAAAGAAATGATGGGATTGGGAATTAATTAGCTTCGAGGGCTTCAATCTCATACCTAATATCTTCCAAATACTCATTGATGCTAGTCACAGCGTCTTGCACTCCTCGAATGGCTTCTTTTAAAGCGTTATCAAAC